AAAAAAAAAAAAAAAAAAAAAAAAAAAAAAAAAAAAAAAAAAAAAAAAAAAAAAAAAAACATCAACATAACCTCAACCTTTGACGATCGTACGTTAACGTTCCACCAGAAGGCTTACTCCGCAGCTTTTCGCAACCGCGGCCAGATGGTCTGTATGTAAACGACTTGTAAGATCATAGTTAACTATTAGCGTGCCGCAATACACGTCGACGTTGCGGTGGATCGGGCCAATATACGTCGTGGCCGCCTATCGATACGCGATTACCCTCCGTCTCACCTGGTAGAGACAAGTGGTGCTCTCACATGCGTTCGCGCACACAACGATCGGCGAGAACCGATACCAACAACTTGCTGCTTCTTTCTTCTCGGTTTGCACAACACGCTGTTGCAAATGGAACGTCGCTAACGTGGTTCGTCACACGTTCTGTATAACCAGTTCCATGTGCGGCGCTTTCTGCATGGTTATCGTGTACCAATGGCCATCCCGTGATTAACGGGATTACATCGCGACCATATCTGACCTCCCGGCGTCTCTGGTGGAAAATATACTTCGATGCGTTTACGAGGACAAAAAGTGTCGGATGCGATAGGTGTTCTCGTTCTGAAAGATTCTGGTTGATTGTTGAGGCTCAACGGTCAAGATGCTTTTTTTTCTTTTAATTGGAAAGTAACAGGTGTTCGAAGAATGTTCACTTTTGGTCTCGAGTTATTTCATTAATTAGTATTCTAATATTAGCTAGATCGGTAAAATAGAGAATAACAAATATTTAGCTCACTGCATAAAAAATTAATTAATCGAGGAGTCTCGCAAAATTCAACTTTTATCTCGTTAAGAATTCTCCGAATGAATGTCTATTCTCTTTGTCCCTTGCTTCGTTGAATTTGCATATATGACATCCAACAACATCCAAGCGAATTCCGATCGTGCTCAAATGCCGAAAATCACCGATATTCGATTATAATTATAACTCGAACTTGTAGATTTGTAGAGAGCAAGATTGATATACAAAAATATCTAAAGTAATCTAAAAGTTTGTCTAAACGATAATTTTATATAAATAAATTTCATTTATTATACTTTTTTGTTTATTTTTTAATCTCTAAAACCGATCTTTTTTGATCATATATATTTATAATTATATCCGTGGCATAATTATAAAAGATTTATGCTCATTTTATAGTGGATCAATGATCATCAGTTTCTTTGTATAATTCTCTAAAACTGCTCTATCCCTCTTTGTTTTTCGCTGGCTATCATTCTCTGCAATCTATATTTTAATTACTCATAAAGATAAAATAAGGATCGAATTTCGTTTACCTGGTAGCTAGATTCTCACGGTCATTCTCGAATAAATATGAATTTACGACAAATAAATAACGAAGCACTGTCTACCAAATTCATCTCATTAACACATTTTTTCCTACATTGTCCAATAGTTAGGTTAAGTTATGCAACGCGTCAACTCCTCGCTAATAACTTTCAAGAGAAATCTAAAAGACTAAACAAGTTTAATTCGCTTTATTAACAGTGTGAAATTCATCGAGAAAATGATACGTTTGAGAAGTTCGAAACCGGGTGGACGCGATTAACTGCAAACACCTTGTTTCGTAATGTCGTTTTTCGTGTCGAAGATAATGTATAGTACGGATAAACAGGTTTCTCGCGTTCCGCTAGAGGGAGTCGTATTAAAAGCTTCGTAATTACGGAGAATCCGATAGGACAAATGATGGTTCCGCTTTTGACGGAAGGAGGCACTGCTATCGATTCGGTCTAACCAATGAAATTCCGTTTTTATAGAAAGGTGAGCGTGAAAGCAGAATTTTCGTGCGCGGACAATGATGGTTTGTGTCTAGGTCTTCTTGCAACTATTCGACCGTGTTCATGAATATTCTCTGGACGTTTGAATAAATGGATCGAAGTTGGAGACTCTCTACATCGTGTCCGATGAATTTCATATATAAATGAAAAATACATGCGCCGACGGATCTCTTTGAGCGAAGGAACGACGTGTCTTTATTGGACGAACAAAGTGAAACAAGAAGAGGTGGAGTAAGTTGGTTTTGAATATATGTTGAAAGTGAAAGGTTTGACAAGAATTTTACTTGTAGATTAATAATATTTTATTTCGTTCTCAGTGTTTCAGATTATTTGAAATATATTTAATCCTTTCTTTTTTTGTTTATTAATCCTCGATCTCGTTAGAAATGAATTTAAATTATATATTGATACAGAAAATGAAAAGATTTTTGTAATATTAGTAGCATTTTACACTTACAAATACTTTATTACTCCAGTCATGTTAAATTACTCATTTTTCAATAGTAATTTTGTTAGACAAATATTTTGCACTATATTACAAGTATATTTTTATTATAATTTCTCATATAACTAACATTTCATCAAAAACGTATGAAAAATCTCCAAAGAACGATAACAAAAAGAAAAATATACATACTATACGGAGTTTTAATCATCTTGCAATTATTTTTCCTCCCTGTACGATTTTTCTCAATCTTTCAAGCGTATTTTTAAGAGAACACAACGAGCGTGATGGACGGACAAGGGAGACTCCCGTAAAAAGTATTATGGAAGTTGGATACACGCGAGAAACCGCGTTCGAATCGTGGATCTCCTCGAAACGACTTGTCGCGTAATTGTGCAGCATTTGTCATCCGGTTTCGCGTCATTTCGAGTTTGGAGGAAATAAAGAGAGGTGCGGCCATACCGACGGATAGCCCGTGGCGCTTTGAAATATTCGTCGGCCACTGTCACACCGTTGAAACATCGGACAAATGGGGTACATAGAGTTTCGTTTAATCGGGATTCATAGCTTCCGGCAAAAATTATCGCGCTGATGTAGATTCATTCGTCGTGTTCGAGTAATTGTTTTCCCCGATGCTTATTAATTTTAATCGAATTTAAGCGAATATATATTTTTTTGATTGGTTATTTATGTCCTACGTTTTTTATCGCGCGTCATAAATTTTATTTGATCGGTTGACTCGGGATTCTGAAGGCTGCTGAGATGCAATCTACTTTGTATTTTTGAGAAATTCTTTCGTTTTTTTTTAATTGCACTGCGAATCGAGAATATAACGAAGAATATAGCGAAGAAAATTTATGTTTTATTCGAACGGTTTAATCCTTTGCAGACAAAGAAATCGAGTTATTGTAACGGATATTGTTGTAATTAATTATTTAATAAATAAATAATTGGTATTTTAATTTTAATATAACTTTATTATAATCTATAGATTATGAAATCTTATTTACATATCTTGTATTGAGATTTTCATTTTCATTTTATTTACTTTATTAACTTCTCGAAAACGTTACATAGATTCATCCTTAAGAAAAAAATTCTCGTAATTTTCCCAGCCTCGACATACCTACTGATCATTAAATTATGGATATTTATGCATTTATACAAAATTTGAATACGCGTATGATTATTATATTTGAGGAACGAAGCAAATCTCTACTTAAATACATTTTAATTTAGCATAAAAATCCGTATGTTATTGATCATAAATACATATATTGATTGAATCCCTCCATCCCTGAGCGTTTAAGATTATACTATTTCATTTTTCCCCTATCCACAACCGAGAAACAGCAGCATTCCATCCAGAGTGTATACAGAATCTCCGCTAGACGGAGGCGCTCTATCGGC